GAGACTCTTATTCTCACAAAACAAACTGAGGATTGCTGGGGGGAGGGGGGTAGGGAGAGGGTGGTGGGGTTATGGACATTGGAGAAGGTATGTGCTATGGTGAGTGCTGTGAAGTGTGTAAACCTGGTGATTCAAAGACCTGTACCCCTGGGACTAATAATACATTATATGTTAATAAAAAAATTAAAAAAATTTTTAAAAAGAATGCAGCATTGCTAACACTTCCTTTTTTTATCCCAGTGAGATTTGTGCTGACTATTGAGCTATGGATATAAAATAATTATTCCTATGTATATATGGAAAATATTTCCATAAATATATGGAAAATATTACAACAAATACATATAATCATTAGAGTGGTAAGTAGTGGTCTGTTTTATCTGTAATGGATCCATCGGGTTTCATTTCCTACTAATTTCTTACCAATGTCACAAGACACTAAACAGAGTTTGAGTCAAAAAAAATGATCAAGACTTACTGATCTGTTTAAGAAAGTAATTTAGACTTAAACTGGTCATGTGGACTAAACCTGAGAAAACATAAACTATGTTCATTTCCCACAGCTGAACTTCTCTGTACTCAACAGGCTTACAAAATTTGAAGCCTTGAAGTCACATTCATATAAAACATCCACAGTTTATAAGTGTTAATCTTGTCTTAAGTTTTCACAGTTATCTTTATTGTGTCTCAACAATCGTCAACAGCCCAATTACAAAAGCTCAAAACTAATCTGAAAAGTAAACCAAGCCCACCAAATGAAACATTGCATTCTTTAAACTGGAAGTTGAAGATTGAAGTACATCAGCTATCCTAAAACCTTTGAGCAAATTCTGAGAAAGGTTTGAGTTCAGCTAATACCAGGAAAGTACACTCCTTTTCATTAAAGCTAATGAAAGGTATAAAGAAGCATCATTTGTGAAATAACCCTGGAATAAAACTCGGGAATCTGTTCTGAAAATATACCCCACTGTTTTTCCAGATTGGTTCCTGATTTTTAATTCCAATATTCATTGTCTAGGTCAAGATACTAGTATAAGGCCTAAAATACTGTATTTTAATATGAAAAAAGAGCTATTAAACTGCCTTTGCAGTGCTTTCTCATAATACTAAAAATTCATTTTTTATTATTAATGAGCTGTACTTATAATGTTAATATAATGTACATATACATGGATTTCTGATCATGTGGACTACCACTGCATAAATTTAGCTCCTCCTGCTCTGACCTCTACACCAACATTAGGGCAGATCACCGGACATTACCCACACACTGTAATTCTTTAATTCCCTGAAAAAAAAAAAAAAAAAGCCTTCCTCAAGAAGTATTTCATATTATATCCTAAGAGAAAGGAATATACAAATACACTAAGATCACCCAAAGAACAGCTTTCTCACTTCTTCCTTTTCTGTGTATCTGTTCTTAACATTAATCTTCCCCATGTTTTCTCCATGGTAATCATTTAATATAATAAATAAATACAAATTAATTGCTTTAGACACATTGTCATTTTAATTTAAAAAACTGAAAAGAAGCAAGTATTAAACTCAATTTACTTGTATCCAAATAATAACTACTGAGCTCCTGCTACCTGAAAGTCTCTGTTTAAAGAGCAAGAGAGATAATCCTCACTCTCTTAGAGCTCCTGTCCAGCAGAGATGGCAGACGAGTAAACATAGGAATTCCAACAGGAATGAGAGCTAAAAATGACGAAGTGCCATAATCGAGAGGTATTTCTGGGGTGTTTACTCTCCTTTGCCAGAAGAGGAGAAGAGGAAACATGGGCAAAGGAGGAAAGAAGAAGAAAACAACCTCTATCAAGTATGAAGAGTAGTGCAATCTAATCAATTAAATAACTGAAAAGCATTTAAATTCCTAATTGAGTCTACCCTTGGAAAAAAAATGAATTAAGATAATTATCTGGACATGATTTTAAAAAGCTACTTGCCTCTGATCTTAATTATTTGCATATTATAAATAAAAAAGTTTCTTTCCACTTCACTCTTCTAATACAGAACTTACCTTGCTTTAAAACCAACATAACTATCAGGATATTAGTAACATAAGTAAGTTTTGCTTACTTGACAAATGGGCCTTGAAACTGAGTATGAGTAAATCCTTATTAAGAAAAAGAACAGTAAAACACAGAAAAATACCTAAGTACTTTTAGTGCCTCACTTAGCATATTTTATACTTGGAGTAGATATTTAAACACCTCTCTTCTCTGTATGACAAAATTACTTTTCAGTAATAATCATTATTTTCCTGACTTGTTCTTTAACTTTAAAGCAATTGACAAATCTTAAAGGAAAACAAATTTTGAAGTTAGTACTCAAATTCAATAAAATATTTCACAAATAAAAAAAAATTTCACATATGAAGTTCACATGCATAAAATTTGCATTTATTTAACACAAATATTACCCATGGAAATTCACACTGTTTCATTGTCATGCTTTTTAAATTTAAATAAAATTCCATATGATATAAAACAACAGAATTGAAGTGACTCTATTTCATAGTTCTTTGTCTTTACAATCACTGTGTCATCATTGTTTACTTTGAATCTGCTGTTTAAATGCATAAGGAATATAATGGTTATTAAAGTATAATCATAAAATGTGCAATTTGAATCATACATACATACTATTAAACATCACTTATAACCAACGTAATTGTTTAGAACTTAGAAGAACAAAAGAGTTTTGAGAAAAATATTTTATCACTTAACATTTAGAACTGCTAGAGCATGGTGAAAATAAAAAGCAGACCAACTTTCAGTTAGTCTTACTATTATTTAAATATCGAGATATTATGCAAGGTCTTAATGATTGCACCCAGGGCAGAATGCTCCCATCACTTTACCTTTGGTATGAATAGTTTTTAACTCAAATAGTTTTAAATCCAAAGTTGAAGAGAACCATAAAATCGCTTACTTGATATGCATTTATGATGTACAGGACCAGCTTCAGGGCATGTGACTGTACATAGGTGCCCATACTCAGAAAGAAACCTGATGGTTGGCCTTTAATGCTCAGCTATCACAGTCTCAAAATTTTTAAGAAATTTATCTTTGAATTTGGTTATATTAGTGAAGTCTGATGCAGCGATGAAGCATATGTCTTAGACTCACATTTAGCTCTGCCTTCCAGGCACAGGTCCTTAGCCACCTGCTCCCCCACCAAACAATTGCTGCCACTTCTGGTGATGGCCTTGGAACAAGGCAAAATGCGTCACAGTCATGGAGAAGAGCCACAGACACCTGAAAGGATCTGCATGTTCCCACAATTAGCCCTATGTACTAGAGAACCTAACACTAAATAGCAAATAAAAATCACCTTTCTTGGGTCAAACAAGACTGTGAAAAAGGAAAAAAGAGTTTTACCCCCGCTTTTGAAGAATATTTGCATTTTCATTTGGCATCAAGCGCCACAATTACATAGCCATTCCTGACTATCTAACGTGGGTGACTGTTTTTGGGTATCTGTTTGCTTTTGTATCTAAAGGAATAAAACAACTTTATCTATGTCTGATAAAGGGAATTTATCTATAATTTTATAATTAAAGATAAAATAAACATATTTAATTTTTATTTTGTATTTTAATTTGTATTTTACCTACAAATATGAGAATAATAATTTTAATAGTTTAAAGAACATGGGAGAAGGAAATCCAATACAATATTATCTTCTGAGTTTCTTATAAGTGATGAATTCCCTTAAAAAGTCTTTAACTAAAAATATATTATGTGCTCTCTGGGTTCAGGCTTGCCTTATATAATTTTCTATTTCTTACACTTTGTCATAATTTTCCATAAAAAATTTAAAAAATACTGGAAATAAAAAAATATATCATGTGCTAAAAATGGAACTATTCTAGCTTCAGAAGCAGGACATGATGTTACTAACATGTTCTTCTTGTTAACAAAATCTGCCTTACAACTTTGATTTCTTGACAGGCAAGAGATTTTTGGTCAGGAGCCAAAGTCATCAAATATTAAGAGTATGGAGATACATCAAATGTGCAGAAGGAGCCTTAAAATTCATTAACTAATTTTAGCACATTTCAATTATTCACATAAATTACTTATACTGAACAATCCTAAATCTTCAACTTCATGCCCCAAAAGTCATATGATTTGTAACTAATAATTTTCAAAATGTACCTTCATAATTCTTTAATTATTCCATTTGTAAGACAGATGAACAAAATATTTTATAAATATATATTATTATATATTAATTATATACATATTATAAATCCTTCATTTTGTTTAGCTCTATTATTTAAGAATTCTTTTTGATCAATATATGCTTGACAATGTCGTCAAGGCTTTTTCCTCATTTTGAAAACAGCAAGATTTGAATGTTTAAGAATTGGCATACTCTATAGATGGATAAATATGTATATATGAAATTAATGTCATATATGAAGATTTATGAAATGAAACCAAGAGCACCTTGAAACAAATATTTTCACATGTGTCTAAATTTAGATAGCATTTCTCATATTCCTAAGAGATCGCTAAAATTGCAAAAAAATTAAGACGTTATGTCACGTGTGAAAAGGTTAGGAGCTATAGTTACAAACTATATGAATTCTTTACACCTTCAAAAATAACCCCTGATTCCTTCAACATTGACTTTATCTAATACTATCTAAATTCTGATTTTCTTATTCACCAACGAAATCCTGAACAACCTGCCCTTTTCTTCATCTTCCTTTTATCCTTTAAATTGATGTCCAACTCCAATTTCTTTTCTCCAATTTTGACTCCCTCCTTCAACTAATATTTAGATACTGCCTCAAACAAAACAATTATATATTGTTGGATCTCATCCCTAGAAATTCCTATATCAATGCTGTACTTTGTGAGTAGAACCCACTCAGAAAGCCAGCCTATGTAAAATCAAGTATTCATTTGTAATTTATCACATTTGTACACAGAGAGACCCTCAGCATATAACCAGTGAATGGGGTTGGGGGAAAACAAGTTACCTACATTGTTCATGTACTCTGAAAGCAGGTCCTGGAGAGCCTGGCGAATGGCATTGCATTCTGCAATAATCCGTTCCCGATGGAAATCTCTAGTGCATGAAGAGTCAGCCAATAGTGCAGCCCCACTGATAATGGCTTCAAGACGTTTCTCTAGAGATGGTCTAATTTCTTCCTCAGTCACTGTGAGTGGATCCAAGACAATTAAATTCTAAAGGAAGAATACATTTCAATAATTAGAACTCCATTAAATTCTGCTTTTAGGAAAAATAAATATTATTTCGTTTTCACATTTAGAATTCAGAAGAGATTTTAAAAAGAGAGAGAATTCATTTCCATGCATTATCCTATATAGGAATTATTATTCAAATGAGAGATAAAAATTGTGCAATTATGAGCATCAAGTCTAGTGTCAAACAAACCAGTATCCAAATCTTGCCTTTCCCAATCATAGATAGTGTGAACTCAATCAAATATCTTAGACACTATGGAACTCACCTTCCTGATCTGTAAAATCGGAATATTAAAATGTTGCTTGTCCCATAAAACTGTTGTAAGAATTACATGAATGCTTAACAGAGTCCATGGCACATATCAACTATAATTTATAATAGTCACCTTAATATAGAACTTCATTGTTTACATAATATTTTCACATATATCATTTCATCTTAACAACATTAAAAAGACCTGGGCAGTAAAGATATTAAATATATATTTCAGTTGGTGATGAGTCAAGCTGAGGCTCTCTTGCCCAAGGTCACTGAGCAAATAAACAGTGATTTCAGATGAGTATCCAGGTTGTAAATACCTAATTCATTATTATTTTCATTATGCCTCATTGTAAATCATATATTCTAATTAGCCTCAACACTAACTTATCAAAGAGAATTCTGAATTTAATTATTTATTTAGAAAGTAAAATTCTATCTTCTATTTGATCTATTATAACTGCCAGCTATTTCCTACTATTTGGAACCTGACATGGTATTTTTAATGTTTCCATCAGATATAAGTCTTCAGGCAATATAAGTCAAGATAATCAGTAGCCTATGATGAAAAGATGGAGGTTATGTGGCTCCAAGGGTTCTTTTATTAAAATATATTAAGAGAGGAAGACTTTCCAAGATTTAAGCATAATGTGATAATTGGGGAAAAAATTAGTATCAAATTAAAGCTCTTTGAAGAACTCTTAGCATAAAATAAAATCATGTAATAATTTTCAAAATGAGTGCATATGTGAGCATACATATACAAACAAAAATACACACAGTGATATGTAAACACACATACACAGAGGTGTATGTATATTGTGTGTATGTATGTATCTTATACTGATCATTGTCCTATTATATTATGATAAATCTTTGGGGATCAAAAGTAGGATAAAATTTTTAAAACTAAAATTCTATGTCAAGCTAGGAAAAGAAAATCATTACAGAAAGAAACATTTCTAAACATTTAGAAAAAAAGAAAAATTAGTCCTGTGTAATGTTCACATATAATATAAAAGACAACTAGATCTTTTATAAAATTAAATGTCCAAAAAATTTTCAGCAGAATTCTTCCTTTTATGATTCTATTTCCTTCCTATTTTTCTCCTGTGCTACTTAATCTCTCCATTTTTCTCTTTTAGATGGACAAAAAAATGAAAAAAATAGAAAGGAAATTATTTTTACAAATACCAAATTCAACATTTTCTTTATCCAGTGCATAAACTTCTTGACTAGATAATAACTCTACCATAAGCTTGGCCATCCATCAAGGGGTCACTTACATATAAATCTACCTCCTTATTTCATTCCCCATTTTATCATGTCCTTCTTTGGCTCACCAATGTCATACAAACATTCTATTCCAGTGTTTCATAACAATTATTAAATCAATTAAAACCTTTTTGAAAATGTCCCTCCAATGTGATATTATCAATTACTTGCTCAAATGCCATTAAAAGATGTCTTAGGAGCAGTTAGCATGTCTCCTGCTTATAATGATAGGTAAATCTGATTAAATTTCAAAAGTTTACCTATAAGTATTGCTAGAAGAAATGTAATTTTAGATGTTCTGACTATGATTTCATGACAGAAAATAGTCTTTCTTATAGGATTAAGCTCACTCTAGTTCCTGCCCTATAGGACAATTCCTTAAACTATCTTACCTTGGATTTTTATTTCCTTGACCTTTAAAACCAAATTCTGTGATCTTATCTAAACTTGAACCAATGCCTGTGCTCTGACATCTGATACCCACATGCAGGACTCTTCATTCTTCCTAAAACTACTGTCCTCCTATTTACATCCTATAAAAATTTTCACTAACCTTGTCATTAAGTCGATAAAAAGGTAAGGGTTTTTTAGATAACTTGAATGTTGTATAAACTGGAATGGATATTTGAGACCTATGAAGTAAAAAATTATCTCTCCTAAATAAGGCTCCCTACCATACATCTCTATAGAAACTGATTTAACTGATTTAACAATGACCCACAAACTAGAATACCTCAGTGTACAGCTGATTGGTTCTGGCACCCCAGTGGATCAAAGAACCAAAAAATAAAAGTACTGAAAAGGATTAAAAACAAACAAAAACAAAACAAAAACCCACTACTTTCACTTTACTCATGTCAAGGTAAGACAGCACAGGGCCTACAGATACTGCCCTCACTTATAATTTATCACACTGGAAAAAATGAGAGCAAAGTGAGCCCTAAGCTTCCCCAGCCTTCTGAAGAGGGTGTCTAAGAGACCCATATCCATATTTCCATACCCAGAATTTTTTTTTTTTTTAAGATTTTATTTATTTGACAGAGAGAAATCACAAGTAGGCAGAGAGGCAGGCAGAGAGAGAGGAGGAAGAAGGCTCCCCGCGGAGCAGAGAGCCCGATGCGGGGCTCGATCCCAGGACCCTGAGATCATGACCCGAGCCGAAGGCAGAGGCTTTAACCCACTGAGCCACCCAGGCGCCCCCATACCCAGAATATTGAAAGAACTGGGAAAACTGAATAATCTAGGAATTGGTAAGAGCAGAGAAAAAGGACAAGAGCTCAGAGCAACTCATGCATGGATTTCAACAAGTGGCAGATCCTACTAACTGGAGTGTGGATTCTAGTAAGAATTCTGCCCACAAACCCAGTGGGACCACCACCTAGAGATCCCACAACTAGCCAACATGTACCGCCAGCATTCCATGCAACCCCTCCCTCCAGTAGCCAATACCCTAAGCTCTCCTGCAGACAAGGCATGGGAACTCCCACAGAAAGCCACACACCTACCAGCATCCAGCTGGATCTGCTGGATTAGGAAGAGATGCATAACCTTGAACACCTCAGGGCAATGACATTGGGAAGATAAACAGGAGGATGTCAGCACCTGGCCTGGCTTTGCAGGATCAAGCTAAGGAACACAGTCTAAGACTTCTCCCACAAGGGAATAATAAAAAAATAAAGCAAGTTCCCATACAGATAGAGTCTGAGAGACCCCATTATCTCCAGCCTGGTTGACTGGTGAAGATCTTTCTCTCTTAAAGCCAGTCAGTAAAGAGGAAGTGACTGCTTCAAATGTGAAGACAGCATGCAAGGTTTCAAGCAACATGAGAACCAAAGAACCAAAGAAATATGATCTCACCAAAAGAACAAAATCAAGGTCCAGTAGCTGATCCTAAAGAAATGGTGATTTACTAATTGCCTGAAAAATAATTCAAAATAATCATCTTTAAAAGCTCATCAGGAGAGAATACAAGTGGACAATTCAATGAAGTCAGGAAAACAATACATGAACAAAATGGTAAGTTTAACAAAGAGAGAGAAATCATAAAAAATAACCTAACAGAAGTCCAGGGGCTAAAGAATACAATGATTGTATTGTAAATCCACTAAAGGGATCAAGAACAGAGTTGAGTGTGCAAAAGAAAGGATCAATGAACTCCAGGACAAATCCTTTGAAATTACCTAGTCAGAGGAACAAAAAGAAAAAATTATTTTATTATTTTTTTTTTTAAGATTTTATTTATTTATTTGACAGAGAGATCACAAGTAGGCAGAGAGGCAGGCAGAGAGAGAGGAGGAAGCAGGCTCCCTGCCGAGCAGAGAGCCCGATGCTGGGCTCGATCCCAGGACTCTGAGATCATGACCTGAGCCGAAGGCAGCGGCTTAACCCACTGAGCCACCCAGGCGCCCCAAAAAGAAAAAAATTATTAAAATGAGTTAAGAAAGCTTAGAGCTCTTTGGAACAGCATCCCAAAAAAATCAATATACACATCATGGGAATCCCAGAAGGAAAAGAAAAAGAGAAAGTTTCTGAAATCTTATTTAAAAATATAATGACCAGGGGCACCTGGGTGGCTCAGTCGTTAAGCGTCTGCCTTCGGCTCAGGTCATGATCCCAGGATTCTGGGATCGAGCCCCGCATCAGGCTCCCGGCTTGGTGGGAAGCCTGCTTCTCCCTCTCTCACTCCCCCTGCTTGTGTTCCCTCTCTCGCTGTGTCTCTCTGTCAAATAAATAAATACAATATTTAAAAAATAAATAAATAAAATAAAATAAAAATATAATGACCAAAAAATTTTCACAAACTGGGGAAGGAAATAAACACCCAGATCCATAAAGCGCAAAGAATCCCAAACAGGTTAAACATAAAAAGATCTTCACAGAGATACATTATAATCAAATTGTCAAAAGTCAAAGACAAAAAAGAATATTGAAAGCAGCAAGAGAAAATCAACTTATCTAATACAAGGTAGCCCCCATAAAATTATCATCACACTTCTCAGTAGAAATCTTGATGGTCAGGAGAAAGTGAAATGATATATTCAAAAGACTGTAAGAAAAAGGTGGCAACCAAGAATACCATAACTGGCAAAGATGTTCTTCAGAAGAAGAGATAAAGAAATTTTCCAAAGAAAAGCTGAGGTATATCACCACAAGGCCCACATTACAAGAGATGCTAAAGAGAGTTCAAATTGAAACAAAGGATACGAACTAGCAACATGAAAACAAATGGAAGTGTAAAACTCACTAGTAAAGACAAATGTACCAGGGCACCTGGGTGGCTCAGTCGTTAAGCATCTGCCTTTGGCTCAGGTCATGATCCCAGGGTCCTGGGATTGAGCCCCACATTGGACTTCCTGATCAGTGGGAAGCCTGCTTCTCCCTCTCCCACTCCCCCTGCTTGTTTGTATTCTCTCTCTCACTGTCACTCTCTCTCTCTCTCTTTCTG